GAGGTTTAGAGCTTTAACTTTGATGATTTTATCACTGCTCACTCATCGTTTAAGAACATCTTGAAACCTCTTTCGATCAATCATGTCTAGAACATTTTCAGTCGTTGACTTGCTGCTACTGGAGGAGGCTGGGAAGATTTGGATTTGGATTGATATTCTAAGAACTTCTGCATCTGAGCTTCAAATGATCCTTTGCCTGAAGTAGATGTTGAATGAGAGATTCATCAGCTTGAGCAATATTCTTTAGAAAGCTGAGCTTGATTGCTTCATCAAGAATTTGCTTAACTTGATTAGGAGACATGTTCCATTCAGCTGCCAAGCTGGATATACTGATGATGGACTTAGGTTTCTTGCTAGGCAGAGAAGTATTAGTGTGTGAAGAAGCCAATTCAATATCTGTTGCCTTGCGCTTGCGAGATAGAGGTTGAGTATCCTCACTAGCTACATCTGAATCTTCTCCGTGGACTGGCATAATGGGATCAATGAATTTCATATCTAGCATTTGACATTCATCATCATGTTCATCTTCATTATCCTCTGAGGCTTCTCCTTGAGCTGGAAATAGTGGGATCAATGAAGTACATGTCCAACATCTGACACTCATCATCATGTTCATCATCATGCTCACTATCTTCAGCAAGCTTTTCAGTATCTGCTGTCTATCAGGCTCCTCAGCAACTGGTCTATCAGACTTATGCACAGGCTGTGGTGGCTCAGTCTGGTTTAAGGTGTTATCCTCAGATCCGAGCTCAACAGATTCAGTGTCTCCCTCTTTTGGATCATCATCATCATCAATCAGTTTCTCCCCCTTTTGATCATCATCAGTTGTGGGGCCAGGGAAGGAGTTGGCAAAAGAACTCCCTTCAGTTGATGGACATCGGCCTCAATTTGTAAAAGACGTTGACTCATGTCCCGAGTCAGTGTAAGTAGCTCATTGAATGTTGAGGCTGGTATATGAAGGAATGGAGTACCTAGAACTTGTTGGGAGAAAGGTTGCTCCCCCGGAGAAGGTTGCTCCCCCTGGGAAGGGTGCTCCCCCTGGGATGGTTGCTCCCCCTGAGATGGTTGCTCCCCCTGAAATGGTTGCTCCCTTTGAGCTGAGTGAACTCTCTCAACGATAGAAAGAGTATGATGAGAAAGTTGAGGGGAGAGATGACCACCATCCTGTGATTCAGCTTCTTGATCAGCATGATCATCGTTATTAACATCAGCTCCTTCATCAGTATCAACGGTTAGTGAAGGAACAGTATAGATTTGCAATCCATTCTCTCATCCGATCAGAGATGCCGATGTCAGTTTCCAACGGATCATCCTGATACATTCGCACTGACATGCGTGGGCATTGGATGGGGTTTCCAGAGTGTGAGTAGTAAGCTTCAGCGAAAAATTTATCTAGCACAAGAGCAATCCAGCGTGGAAAGGGGACATGATCAGTGCGTATATTTGCACGAAGAAGTTGAACAAGCTGATCAAAGAAGAAAGCCCCATAATCAAGTCATTTGTTGAGAAGAAGGGAACAGACAACTTGTTGCTCATAGGTGCTCAGTTGATCACCACTGCGAGATTTGTGACCCACACATTTGCACAGAGCACTGGTGAAGAACTTCCATCCTGGAGTCATACATTGATGCAGAATGAGAGCTGATCGAGTACCATCCTTTGAGTGATCATATCCCAGTTGATCAAAGAGACGTTGACAACGTTCAATAGGTGGAAGCTCAGAGAAGGGTTCAAAGATTGGTAACCTGAGCGCAGCACTGAGGAGGTCAGTGGTAATAAAGACTGAGTGCCTTCCACGACCAATAGTCCCGGAGATGACGTTGTTTGCATCATTAATTGTTGCAGTGTAGTAGAAATCACAGACTTGTTCGGGAAAGAACTCTGATGGAATGTCACTGATTGCGTATCGGAGTCGGCAGGAGACTAAGAAATTAACAAAATCATCAAGTCCAAGACCTCGATGAACATCTGGAATATCAGGGTTGAAAACTACGTTGGTGGCTTTGATGTATATGGGAAGAGGAGGAGAGTTTGGAGCTGGAACGACTCTTCTTGAAGTGGAGGAGAAGGTGAACAGTGATGCCGCCATTGAAAAAGTTTAGGATTCTAGGTTTTTTTTAAGAGAGAGAGAAGATTGGAGGAAGGTAAAAAGGTTTGGGGAAGAGGTGAAAAGGTTTAAATAGGTAATGAAACGGTAAAAATTAATGATTATCTTTAGCGAAAATAACTGCGTATCTTGCCAGACTGTTAAATCAAAAAAATAGCCGTTGGGTAAATAGAGCCGTTGTACCGAAGAGGAAACGACAAACAGTGATTGCGGAAGCGCTGAGATTGCTACCACGGAAAGTTACATGCTGAAAGATAGTTTGTCTTCAAATCAAGGTACAACTTGCTTGTTTAGGGTTAGCAAGGTGATTGGTGCGTGTGATAGATACTAGTTTAATTATCTAACCATCAGCACAGAGTGTCGTGTCTTTATCAGTGAGTGGTATTTCTTACTGAATCATTAGACACTGAGTGAGAAGAAGGTGAAGAGAAGATTGTTGCATGTGATAGACACTGGTGTTTTGGTCTAACCATCGGCAAAAATTGTTAGATTTTCATCAGCATGTGTTTTGTCACACCGAATCACAGAATCAGTGTAAGATTGGTAAGAGTGGATAGTTGCGTGTGATAGAACTTGGTGTTTTGTCTAACCATCGACAAAGACTGTTAGATTCTCATCAGCATGTGTTTTGTCACACCGAATGACAGAATCAGTGTAAGATTGGTAAGAGTGAATAGTTGCGTGTGATAGAACTTGGTGTTTTGTCTAACCATCGGCAAAGAGTTTCAAGTTGTTATCAGTGTATGGTTTAATACAGTGAATCATTCATCTTTAGTTTAGAAGATTTGTAGAAGAGAGAGAGAGATAAGAGATCATACAATGAACTCAGCATGCTAAACATCATCAGCGCTTCATCATCAGTAAAAAAAACATTAGTGTATAAGACAATAGCAAACATTAGTAAAACAATTTTTCAATCAAGAGTGATCATTCCAAGTTCGCCAATGATGTGAGCATTAGTTTGAGTATCCAGGGCCTTGGTGAAAATGTCAGCTAGTTGATCAGAAGTCTTGACATGCTTTAAAACAACCTTGCCCTTCTCAACATTGTCTCTGATGAAGTGATGTCTGATCTCTATATGCTTTGTCTTTGAGTGCTGAACCGGATTCTGTGTGATCTGAATGGCACTGGTGTTATCACATAATATAGGAGTCTTTGTGAATTTAAGCCCATAGTCTAAAAGTTGATTTTGAATCCATAGGATTTGAGCACAACATCTCCCAGCTGCAACATACTCAGCTTCTGCAGTGGAGATAGCTACTGAGGTTTGTTTCTTGTTGGACCAGCTGATTAGTCAATTTCCAAGGAAGTGACATCCACCTGACGTGCTCTTCTTGTCTAAGTTGCAACCTGCATAGTCGGAATCAGTGTATCCAAAGAGTTCAAGCGCTAAGTCACGAGGGTACCACAGTGCCAAGTTTTGAGTGGCCTTTAAGTATCGAAAGATGCATTTGACTGCAATAAGATGAGACTCCTTGGGATTAGCTTAGAATCTAGCACAGAGAATGGTTCCAAACATGATATCAGGGGACTTGCAGTGAGGTAGAGAAGAGATCCAATCATTCCTCGATAAAGAGAGTAATTAACATCAGCACCGGTGGGATCAGCGTGTAGCTTATCAGTCTTGGACACTGGAGTAGAAGCTAGTTTGCAGTCGCTGAGAGAATACTTAACTAGCATGTCAGCAATGTATTTACTTTGACAAATTGAAATACCTGATTTTTGTTGTTGAACCTCAAGACCTAAGAAGAAAGTCATCTTCCCCATCATGCTCATTTCGAACCTTTGAGACATGATCTCAGCGAATTCGTTGCTCAGCTTCTCATTTGGATATCCAAAGATGATGTCATCAACATAGATTTGAACAAGAATCATTTCTGAGCCTTTCTGTTTGATGAAGAGAGTATTGTCAATTGCTCCTCTTCTGTAGCCATTTTCAAGAAGATATGATGTCAGTGTCTCATACCAGGCCATGGGAGCTTGCTTCAGTCCATATACAGCTTTATCTAGTCGGTACACATAGTCAGGGTGCTCTTTGTCTTCAAAGCCTCGGGGCTGTTTGAGAAATACTTCTTCTTGTAACTCACCATGAAGAAATGTCTTTTTGACATCCATTTGGTAGACAATGAAGTTCATGTATGAAGCGTATGCGAGAAACAGTATGATTACTTCAATGCGGGCAACTGGAGCAAAAGTCTCCCCGTAGTCAATGGATTCAATTTGAGTGAACCCCTGAGCAACAAGTCTTGCTTTGTTGCGAGTACTAATACCATCTTTATCAACTTTGTTGCAGTAGACCCAGCGTGTTCCGGTGATTGTCTTTCCTGATGGTTTGGGAACAAGTGTCCAAACCTTGTGACGTTCGAACTCGTTCAGCTCATCTTGCATGGCCTTAATCCAGTCAGCGTCTTGAAGAGCTGAGTGTATCTTGTTAGGTAAAATCATTGAAACGAAATTAACGGACATGCTAAAATTATTAGATACACGAGATCTGGTTTGGACACCATCATGAAGATTCCTAATAATTTGATCAACAGGATGATCTCGATGTCCAGAGCTGATTCCACTAGATTTGATGCTGAAGTGTTATTGCTGAAGGGAACATTAGTTGCAGGAGAGTCTTCATTCTCAATAGTTTCATCAGCATCAGACAAAAGAGTTGTTGAGCTGACCGCAGTATCTTGATTTAAGGAATTTGGATCTGGAATGATAGGATCAGGAATAGTTGCTTCTTCTTCAGTGTGAGAAACTTCATCATATGGGCAAGAGAGAAGCTCTTGAAAGATAGAGGAAGAATGAGCTACTTTTTCATCCATGTATGCATCCAAACACATGAAAGAAGGATACGTCCGGCTTTCGACCTTTCAGCATCTCATATGGTGTCTTCTTGTGAATCTTGTGAATTAAAGATCGATTCTGAGTAAAACATGTTGTATTAACAGGTTCAGCCCAAAACGACATGGGAAGACCAGCATGAATCATTAAGGTCCTTCCTGCCTCAATCAGTGTTCGATTTCTTCGTTCAGCAACTCCATTTTGTTGAGGAGTGCGAGGAGCTGAAAAGTTCTGCCCAATGCCTTTATAATCACAAAATTCTTCAAGAGTTGAATTCCAGAACTCAGTGCCATGATCACTCCTTAGCTTCTTAACTTTGAGACCAGTCAGTGTCTCATTTTTACGAATCAACAAGATAATTTCCTATGCAGCATGACTTTTCTTCTTCAAGAAAACCACCCATGTAAATCGAGCAAACTCATCCACAACCACTAGAGTATACTTGTTTCCTCCTTGGGAACGAATAGGAATAGGTCCAAACAAGTCCATGTGTAGTAAATGAAGAGAAACATATATGCTAGAACATGACTTGGGTTTAAATGATGACTTGGTTTGTTTTCCTTGTTCACATGCTGAGCACATCTTGTCTTTGACAAAGCTGAGTTTTGGGAGACCTCTAACTAGATCTTGATTGGATATTTTGCATAGATTCTTAAAGTTCAAATGATAGAATCTTTTGCGCCAAATCCAGCTGAGATTGGTTTGAGATTTTGTAAAGAAACATTGCATCAGCGCCTTGTCACTTGAGAACATGTCAAGAACATATATATCATCTTTTCTACTTGATGAAAGTACGATGTCCTTGTCAGTGTTAACAACTCTTCCATCCTTTTTTCTAAAGTGAACTTCATAATCAGCATCACACAATTGGCTGATTGATATAAGATTGTGTTTGAGACCCTTTACATATGAAACATTCTGAAACACCACGTTATTGCACTTGATATTTCCATATCCTTTAGTGAACCCCTTTCCATTGTCTCCGTATGTTACTACAGGACCGGTTTTCTTGACATAGTCTTCCAGGAGAGACTTGGATCCTATCATATGTCTTGAGCAACCACTATCTAAGTACCAAAGATGCTCCTGACCCTGTAGTGCTGACAAACTAGTTAGAACACACTGACCCATTGGAAGATGGGTCATTCACAAAGTTATTTGACAATATATTATAGCACTCATTAGGAAGACAGTTTAAAGAATTTGATTTAAGAGTCCATTTTTCATTTCTAACTTTGATGTTATCAGCTCTTAATGATGTTTTATCAAACTTGCAATCACTGATTTTGTGAGTTGAATCACCACACGTGTAGCAAATTCTAGTGCCAAAGTTTTTCTTGGTAAATTACTATACTATTACATAGATATGTTTTTACATGATTACGCTTACATGAGTATGTTTACATACATATGTTTACATGAGTGCGGTTACATATACTTTGATAGGACAGACATCACTAGGTTCTATAGCATATAACAAGTTCAGGATCTAACTATACCGATGAATCGCAATGCATTGTGATAGTTATATCGGGTATACATGATCATAGTAATGTGGATGTTCACGGCATGCATACATGCATAGGCGTGTAAAGGTCTCAAAATCCCTTTAACAGGGGGATGGGGGGATACAAGTAGAATCACGCTAGTTACTATATCAATCACATGTGATTAGTAAGCAGCATTCAAATGATTGGCTACTCATTAGCCGTTTTACCAAACAGTTTACTTCAAATGTTTTTCATAAACACTTTATGTGTTTAAAACTCCTTATTACACTGTACATTTTACTCTGTATGTTTGATTTCAAACTCATTTACAATTGTGTTTCAAAAAAATGTTTCTTTATATTAAACTGTTTTATCAAACCCATGCCTTCAAACCGTTTTCTAGATTGACATCAAGTCAATGTTTTCTTAGATAATAATTATGTTCAAAGGTTTTACAAAACTTACTTTATGCTTTTATATTATAAATTGCATGCCTATATATGTACATTTATATATGGAATGTTTAAAAGACTTAGGAAGGCTACCCACCGTATTTCATTTTCGCGCTTGAGATGTGATCCGGTGGGATATCAGGTACCCGTCCGAAGGTTGTTTAAATATTAGTTATATATCATGTGTACATATTATAGTCACAAA